GCTTGACTTCATATATGAATGGTGCAACAGAAATCTGCTAACGTTAAATGTCAAAAAATGCAAAGTGGTGTCGTATAGTCGGAAGCAGGACCCCATCATATACAACTATAACCTTAATGAAAGCGTTTTAGGAAGAGATTCAAGTTTTAAAGACTTGGGAGTAGTGTTCGATAACAAACTCACTTTTAACGATCACATATCAGATATTGTATCATCAGCATCAAGGTTGATGGGTTATTGTGTACGTAACTGGTCCGGTTTCTCTAATGTGGACTGTTTAAGAATACTGTATTTTTCATTTATCAGGACTAAGTTAGAGTATGCGTCCTTAGTATGGTCCCCCCTATATCAGAATGCAATCGGTAAACTGGAGGCTGTACAACGTAAAGCTCTAAAGTATTGGTATTTTAAGTGCAGTGGTAGATACCCAGAAAGAGGATTTGATCATGACGCTTTGTTGGAGTTTTTTGGCATTGAATCACTAAGGAATCGTCGTGACGCTCAAGCTCTCACTTTCCTTTATAAGTTAGTGAATAATCATATTGATTGTGGGTTCCTACTGAGTAAGATTAATTTTCATGCTCCCAGATTAGTTGGTCGGCATAATAACATATTTTACTGTGATACACCACGGACGAATATTTTATGCAGATCCCCAGTAATGGTAATGTGTACCTTATTCAATTCAATCTGTAACAGAGCTGATGTATGTCATGACAGTCTTAATAAAATATTAAACATTTACAGGGAGCAATTGAGATAAAATCGTTTTGTTGATGGTGTCAGTTATTGTTATTCTTCAATTTGAGCACTTTTATGTTTTTTTTTCTTCTCTTTTTTTTGTGAAGTGTTTAATTATTCACCTATGTATTATGTGTTCATTCAGATCACTAATGTTTTTCTATTTTCTTTTTTTTGTTATTATTTTCTGATTCATTGTCTATATATATATATATGTGTATATATGTATGTGTGTGTACATATGTATATATATATGTGTGTGTTCATGTGTATATATGGTACCATTTTGTTTTGATTTCCTGTGATTGGGTGTATACCTGTTGGAAATAAATATATATTATTATTATTATTATTATTATTATATATATATATATAAAGAACAGTATACGTTAAAAGGAAGAGAATACAACATGAAACTGAAAAATTGCAAAAAAATAGAGTATAACAACAAATTACTAATGTCTGATAATAAGGGCAAAACAGTATAGCAGATAGCAAATGTTAACTGGGTCAGGCAATTTTAAGCAACAGTTAGGATCAGAGCTTGACTTGGATCTCACAGCAGATAAATTCAACAAATTCTTGGTGGAGTCATTTGAGAACTCAACTCGCAACAACAGTCCTGTTTATGAATTCACTCTTAAGCGAATTTTATTTTCAATGTTAGTCAGGCCTGTAACCAAAGTTGAAGTAGTTGAAATTGTCAAATGTTTAAAAAATAAAAAGAGTAGTGGTGAACATGAAATATCCAGTATAGTCATAAAAAAATGCATTGATCACGATGTAGATCCATTAGTATTAATTATCAAAAACTCATTGAGATATGGTATTTATCCTGGTCAGCTAAAAACAGCATTGTCATTCCAGTTTACAAGGATAAAGGCGATTTGTCATCTTTTAATAGTTTCAGACCCATAAACTTGTTATCAGTTTTCTCAAAAATACTTGAGATGGTAATGAATAACAGAATATTGAATCTTTTAACTCTAAATGACCTGATAAAAGAAACTCAACATGGTTATGTTAACGGAAAATCACCTCTTTCAGCTGCTTATAAGTTTATTCATAATATTATAGAAGACAACAATAAGAGTGTACTGCACTTGACCTTATTAAAGCGTTTGACTGCCTAGATCATAATATATTATTGAAAAACTTCAGCAATAGTAAGCAAAAAGTAAAACTGTTGGGGCGTAATGGAACCTCTATTTCGAATGAGCTTAATGTTAAGACAGGGGTGCCTCAGGGCAGTATATTAGGTCCCACATTGTGTGTAATTTTTTTAAATGACATCGACACCTATATCAAACCCGATGTATGCAAAATTACGAAGTATGCAGATGACACAAATTTGCTCATAACTGCTGCAGATCCCGAGAATGCATGTGATGAGGGGAGATACAATATGGACAATATGAAAACCTGTTTTTTGCCAATAGGCTAATTCTTAATAAAACTAAGGCTTGTGCTATGTTTTTTTCGAGCTACTCATTGTAGATGCAGATTTCTAAAATTCAATTCGTCTTAATAGTACAACAATAGCAGTGCCTGACAATACTAGATTTCTTGGTCTTGAATTAGATAGTTACCTCAGGTGAAACAACCATATAAGTTATTTAAGAAAGCTCAAGGTAAATTATTCTATAAGAATAATTGCTAAATATCTGGATAGAAAAACTTTGAAAGTTGTGTATCACTCAAATTTTGAATCTAGATTAAGGTATGGAATTATGTTATTCGGAAGCTGTAGTGACTTTGATGGAATTTTTGTAATACAAAAGAGAATATTGTGATATGTTTTAGGTATGAAGCTAAATGAATCATGTAGAGGCAAATTCAAGCAATTCCTTCTTATTCATATTTAAAAATAAGCGAATGTTCACAGTTAATGTGCCTACATGTAACCGCACTAGAATTTTTAACTATATTTATCTTAAGCATAGATTAGCATTGTTTGAAAAAGGACCTCTTTACGAGTATAATTGTCTAATCATTTACCGGCAGTTGTAAAAAAATGTAATACTAAGTGCATTTAAAAAATATTATATAAAATATTATTAATCTAGAACCATATACAATCGATGAATTTTTCAAAACCGATTTGAATAATATGCTTTAAAGCAAGATTTTATCCTTAATTTTGTTTGGTTGACACTATTTGTATCACAAGTGGTTTACAGCTGTTGTATAGCATTTGCATTTGCAAATAAAGATTATTGTTATTGTTCACAAAATCATACTGAATTCTAAGGCCCAACAGGATACCTAGGAGAAGCCACAGCCTCCCCTGGTCTCCCCCTGCGGGCTCCTATGGTTCGTCAACTTCCAGGCAGGATCTACTTAGAAACGATTTTAAGTAGGCCCTATGTATGAGCTCAAGCCACCCAATTATTTACTAGAATAACCTTATCATAACCTGCTGTACCCGTGTAGACATTTTCAAATGAACTCATCACGACAGCAGACTAGGTACCCTGCAAAGCGGCAGAGTGCGGGTGCGGGGAAGGAGAGGGCAGACCGACAGACAAAGCCATAGAGCACCCTAATGAAGGTGGAATGCGGCCGCAATGTACAAGGGTTGAGGGCGGCCTTTGTATTGAGCTGCGCAGACGCAGTCACGTCCAGGATGATACAGAGAGGGCGGAGCATTGGCCGACCTGGGATAATGATGATACCCCGGAGCTGTGCGACGAGCCCGGAGTAGGGTATGAAGCGGCGGCATGTGGATGAGCCATTGCGAATCAGGAACGGAGAATTTGGAGGGCAAATGGGACGAATACTCCTCATAGAGCACCCCTTTTGAAACACTTCCGTCCGATTTAACTATTAACCCACAAGAATCAAAATTTGCGTATATGGCACAATTTCAGCCAATCACAAGGTATTTTTGAAGTAACGGATCTAATTCTAATGAATATGGTCGATTTATTGTACAATGTCTCGCAAACTACAGAAAAATTATGCAATTTGTATAAGATGGCCGCCTAATTCTTATATTAAATCAAAAATTCCTCATCGCATCTGTTAGCTAGAAACACGTATTCTTTTCATTTGTGTCCTGACATAAAATTTGTGACTCAAACCGAAATTACACCAATTAAAAAGAAGGGTTAGCGGTATAGTCGCAAAATCGACAAATCAAAAAGAAACGTTTATGCCCTGCTTGAAATATTCGTCAAGCCCAACACAATAGATTGATATGACAGCCATTACTGAACATTTGATTAAAAATAACAATATCACTACTTATTTGAGAGAGATAACACTGGTGAACAAAATTAATTTTTTTTTGTGACATGGTCAAAACAAGGTGGTTATTATGTAAAACGTACCCAAAAAGCCGGAAATAGCATTCGATTTTTTCTATCACCCACGGTTTTCTTGCAATAAGGCATTTTATTTGCTGCTTATACTCGTAAAATATAAGGATATGTGTGTAAGAGTACTAATAAACAGTCGAATAAACATTAATCTCAGAATGTTGTCAATGTTTTACGGCGCTATGTTGCTCCTGAAGTATCTCCTAACAATGTCCAGCAATAATCAGCAAGCAAATTATATATAATTATACCGTCTTTCCATAGCAGAAACGTCTTGGTGGAACCATGTTCATCACTTACCGCACCTAAATTTTCTGGACAAAAATCGAGATGAGAATCCAAAAAGTGAACTTTTAGAGACATATTACATCCCATTCCTTCATAAGCATTAATTAGTTCACTCACAATATCTTTACAATTGTCCGCCTTCACATTGCCTACAGAATTTGCAGTAACTGATTTAAAAGCATTCCAAGCTCGTAATTCAGTTTCATTTAGAGCACTGTCAAATACATCATCCTTCATGATTTTCCGCATTTGTGGACCCACAAATATTCCCACTTTAATTTTTGTCTCACTAAGTCTAGGAAATGTTTGTTTTAAATGCAGAAACCCTCATCCATTTCGATCCATAGCTTTCACTAAAATTTTTATCAGTACCAGTTTGATATGGAAAGGTGGAAGCAACACGTTTTGTGGATCAACTAGTGGTTCATGAGCAATGTTTTTGAGGCCTGTGTCCCTAATCTTGAGTTTGAGGGAGTAGAAATTGTAAGAGAAAGTGGCAAAAAGTGGGCGTGGCCAAGAAATGCAGTATTCTTGAAATCATTTCTAGCGAAAAGTGATAGAAATGTTCACTTTAGGGAGTCGCGATTTCTCTTGGTACCGACCAAGAGAAAATGGAAAAATTAGTAGAAAATAGCGCTATATAACCTAAAAATTGACGTTTTTGACATTGTTATTGCCGTTCGTTAAACATATTGCAAAAAATGGATAATTCCAATCAATTGATGTATTGGAACAATATTATTAACGAGGATGTAGAGGAGGCAGTTGAGGAATGGGAGATTGGGAGAGATATTCTTGGGCACCGAGACCCTTTCACAATTTCCGATCGAAAATTCGAACAGATGTTTAGGTTGACTAAAGATTTGGTGTATGAATTGCTGGAGATATTGACTCCATTCATACAACCACCCCGACGAGGTTCTGCACTTTCGATCACAACAAAGGTAAGTAAGTCTTAGTCATTCTAAAATAGCACCTATCCTTTGATCTATGATGGAATCCATACAGAGGCAAAACAGCAGAATAATTTAATCAAGAATTGAAAATTTCCAGGTTTTGGCAACTCTAAGATTTTATGCTAGTGGCAGCCATCAGTAGATCACTGGCTCCAACCATTTTGTTGGGATTAGCCAGGCATCGATGAGTAGAGCAATAAAGGAGATAACGGAGGCATTAAATCAACCACAAATTCTTGCAACCAAAGTAAGCTTTCTCAGAGATCCAGAGGAACAAGATGTTCTGCGTAGAAGGTAGGTTTTCTTAATTAGCGGCATAGTGTATATATTAGGTATTCTTGTTAGTTTTTCTAAAATGCAACAACTTGTAGAGACTTTCTTTGGAGAGGTGTAACTTTCAAGAAACAAAATCCAATAGTTTTTTTAATTTGGTCCAATAGTACCGAATATGGAAAACAGGCCTGAAGCAATTTAAGGAAAACTTCTGGTTTTTCATTATTGGACCTATCCCCTCTATATTCCATACACCTTTTTAAAAATTAAATTTCCTATTTTTAGGTTTTATAGTATTCATAACTTCCCAGAAATATTGGGTATCATAGACTGTACACATGTGGCAATTGTGTCACCCAGAAATAATGACCCATTATACCCTGAACATGTGTACGTCAATAGGAAAAATTACTATTCACTGAATGTTCAGCTAGTAAGTACATAAACTACTAAGATATTTAGGTTTATCTCTTACCTGCTTAGTTTTATTGCTTTGCAAAATAAGCACTACCTTGCTTAAAAAACTAATAAACAAATAAATCTAAAAATAATATCAAAAAGTGAGAAACTTAAAAATGGCACAGGTTAGATACAAGTAATCAATTAGTTTATATTGTATGTTTGGGGTATAATATTATTCTAAATGTACTACATATTTAACTTCTGGTTTCATAGTATCTTTTTATTTTTTAGATTTGTGACCCAGATCTCAAGATTATGAATGTTAATTCAAGGTTTCCTGGATCGGCACATGATTCTTTTATATGGGCACAATCTCCTGCAAGCTTATACATGGAGCAAATATACAGAAGGAATCCTCAAAACATTTTTTTTGCTTGCTGATTCAGGTTACAGTATTTCTTTGATTCATTTCTATTAATTGTCTTTAGCAAGGAAGGAGAGGGAAATAAATTCATTAAAGTATGTCGTTTGAAATATCAAATTACAGCGTATTTAATAATGTATGTGAAAAAAAGGGTGCAAACTAGATACCAATTTGTCAGTTTTTTCTTGGGGGGGGGGCATTATACTTTTAAAGCATTTAATTTTGCAGGTTACCCAACCCGTCCCTGGTTACTTACACCCCTACCAAATCCAGGAAACCATGGGGAGGAGCTTTTTAATGAAATACTGTCCTCTGTAAGATCCATTATTGAGAGATGTAATGGTGTCTTGAAAAACAGGTTTAGATGCCTTTTACGGTACAGGACCCTACACTATAGTCCTACAATAGCAGGAAAAATTGTTAATGCATGTTGTGTTTTACACAATATGTGCACTATGGCATGTAGACTGTAGAAAATCTACAGCAAAGAAGAGTAGCTGGAAATCCTGACCTAGCTGCTGCAAGGCAGATACAGGAGAACATAATATTAAATCATTTTAATGGATAAAATAAATATCTACAGTAATAAATTCCAAAATTTGTAAAAAAAACATTTGTTCTTTATTCTAACAGGTACGAACATTGCAAAACTATATTTGGTTTGGTTTCATAGTACGATTTCAATATTTTCAGCTTTTCAGTCTGATAATTTTTTGTACTTTTCATTGACTCCTCGGTTAGCTGTAAAAATCTTTTATTATTCTTTATAGATTCTGTTAAGCGCATTGTTTTGTTAACTCTCTTATGTGGTCTTTTGACACTTGTGCCAGTATTTAAAACAGGATTTAAGGACTCTAAACTTGTTGCTTGGGAAGCATTTATGTCTTTTAATTCTGTGCTTGCAACATCAGCTTGTCCAACTTCAATTGCCATATCTGTGTCTTCTTCCAAATCACCACAGTAATCATAATCCAGCTGAAAAAAGTGCATTATTGCTATTTAAACAAACATTTATCCTTACTAAAAGTGAAATATTCATCAGGTCATACAAATATCTCCTTCAAATAAACCAGGCTGTACTTTAATATCTCTTAAAATCAGTACATGCCTTGTAACATATCTTGTACCTTTATACTATACACTTGGTTTGGATTGTGTAATAAATCAAGTATTTAAATTCAGTATTATTTCATCTTATGCTGATATGCTAGCACTTACCTTATGAGGCATTTCTTCCAACACAAATGGGTCTGGAACATTCTCATTTCCAGTGACACAAACTGGAGTAATTTGTTCCATAATTTTGTCTTCGACATTATCAAAATGCCTTGGAGGTAGACCGCCCCCTGTACCAGACTGATATTTTTTCCTGTCTGCTAGTCTCGACTTTGAATTTTTTTTTATATCAATCCATGTCTAGAAAGATTATAATTTTTCTACGTCAGTACCAAGCAAATGCAAAATGCATTGTTTAATAGTATAATTAGACAGAGATATAATGTAATATTTACTTTTTGTTTGTCATTTCAGTCCATAACGCCTTGGACTGGGCACGGGTATATGCCGGCGTGAATTTTCCCTGGTGCATTTGCGGGTGCTCTCGGAGAAATTCAATCAATTTCTCCTTTTGCTCATTTGTAAGGTGTTTTTTTGACGTTTTCGACTCCATAGATAAAATCACAGATAAAATAATGAAGAAATCTTGACCGAAATCTTTGGTTAGTTACCCAAACCTGGCAACCCTGTGTCTTGATTTCCTTTCTCCTTTCGACCGAATCCTTTCAAGAATACAGTATTTTCGAATCGATAGAAAACCGGAGGAGTAGAAAAAGAGAGGGAGTGTGATTTTCTATTGTAGTCAAGAATACGGGCACTGGAGTTAATACCTGATGTAGTGGCCACTCCTTCTGTTCATAATGACGATCTCGCGCACGATTGTCCCATTCACACAGAAAACTACAATACTTGGTATATCCCGGTTGCCTTTCAAGAAGAAGGGCTACTACCTTTAAATCTGCACATATGGCCCATCCATATTCAATTAACGGATATGCTCTAACAGAACTCGCATATTTTCATATGATTCCTTCATATGAACTGCGTGCCCTATAGGTACAGATTAATATTTATTATCGTTGTGTACCAATACCTCTTTTAAACTAAGCTAAGAGGAATCAATGAACAGGCGCCAATCATTTGGATCATGTTTCTGTCCTAACGCGTCAAACAAATTGTTGACTTTGGATAAATATATCAACTCCCTTTCTTGACGGAAACAGTGTGTGAGGTCTTGTTGCCGTTTTCGTTAAAAAGTAATAACATCACCGTGGAGAAGATTCCATCCTTTAAATCTTAACGCTAAAAGTTCCCACTGGGGTTTTGACAGATTTAATTCTCGAAATAAGTTATTAAGTTTGCCCTGTGTGATCAAATGAGGCGCTGTTGAATATCCTGGCAGATCAAATGCATGATCGGAAATTTTTTCGCTTTCTGTACCATTACTTTCAGAATCGGTGGATTCGACTTTTTCATCCACAAACCAAAATTCTGGTAGACCTGGGACAGAAAGTTCATCACTATGCTTAACGGGCCGCAAAGCTGATGGTGAATTAAAATATTTAACAGTATGTTTCGATTTTTGTCCAATACCTTTAATATTTGTGAGGCAAAAATAGCAATCAGTAGTATGTTCTCTCCAAACCATTCTTACCGCTCAGGGCATTTTACGATTGTCGCCTCTTAACCAACCTGTGAACAACGTTACACACGTTTTACAACATATATGAGGTGCCCATGATTTATCTTGGTCGTCAACATTAATTCCAAAATAAAGTTCGTATGTTTTCAGCACAAGGGGGGTAAAAGTACGTTTTTGGAATTTAAAAGTTGGCTCTCCGCACACATAACAAAAACTGTTCGCATTATTCACACAATTTCTAGGCATTGTCCATAAAGCTAATCTCGATCACAATAAACTAAAAACAACACACCGTTTTAACAAAAATTAACAGTACTCAGAACATCTCTGTACTCTTCAACACAGAAAACGTAACTGACTCGGCTGCTATTAGTCTACTAATAAACGCAATATGTACCGAGCTTGCATATAATCAACCGGAATAGACAGGACTTAACATTACATATGTCCGTCATCACATAAACGCCGAGAAATGCAGCAATATGAGATGTTACGTATTGTAATTCCTAAAAGTAGATGTTACCGAATCTCTGTAGGTGATCGAAAAATTCTATTTTTAGATTTGATTTAAGGGTCTCAAAATACATAAAATACACCCAAAAATTATCATGTCACAAATCCTGTGTTTATCAGTGTAATTTGAAAAGATCTATATATTTACCATTCTTCCAACAAGTCCATTGAGGTTAGCTACAAAACCTTGCTACCTTTTTCCTTTATGAGTTTGTGAGGTGAGTCAAACTAGATGATTGATTTTTAATTTTGCTGTACAAAATTCTGCTTAACGAACTCTTTGAAGACAAATAAAACTACCCTGTTTCTTTTACTTTTATGCTCAACACGTGTTTAGTGCTAATCTTCCTGACTTATAACAATACTGCTTGGCGATGTTCAGGTAAATTGAGTATTTACTTGATGTTCTTTTCTGTAGTTTTGTCTTCAAAGAGCTTATTAAGCAGAATTTTGTACAATTAGAACAAAAATCAATGATCTAGTTTGGCTGACATGTTACAAACATATAAAGAGAAAAATGGACAATGGGCTTATTGGAGGATTGTTAAAATATAACTTTCTCAAAATTATCTCTCTCAGATAGACAGTGATATTGTTTCAATGAAATGCTCAGTAATTCCTATCGTATCAATCTATTGTGTTAGGCTTGATCCATGTTTCGATCAGGGCCCAAACGCTTCATTTTGATTAGTCGAATTTGCTACTATAAACACCCTTCTTTTTAAGTGGTGGAATTTGTACCTGTGTTACAAATTTTGTGTTCGGACATAAATGAAATGATAAGTTTTAGTAGATAGATCATGTGATATACAGGGTATAAACGTTATGATAGTCATTATTTAAATCGGTGATAGAGGGGGTTAAAAGAAGCAAAAACTTTCATATAACATGGGGGTCAAAACGGCATTTTTTTAGAGTAAAGCGACTTTAAAGTAAAATAAAATCTGACAACGCCGCAATGCCAGACGCAAATTACGACGGAACGCAGTGTAAATAAAGATGGAGTTTGTTATATTTGTCTCTTAGGTATTATTTCATTATTTGATAATTTACTCGTAAAATGCAAACAATTAAAAAAACGGACTTACTAACTGTCTCAGCGCTTCACCTGATATGAGAAAGTTTATTGAACGTATTAAAAAAATCCACTTATAAATGGGGACCACAATTTTGATACATACAATGGTTTTTCTTTTTAAAACCCACACTGCCCTTTTCTTGTATCTAAAGAAGGTGTTCAAAATGACGTCCTCCACTTTCCACGTAAGCTCCGTTACGACCTTCACGAATGGTATGAGGATTATCTTGGGCCCACGTGTGAATATTATTGAAACTTAATATCCCGTCTCGCGTAAAAGTACATTCGTACGTCGCTAGAATGTTTTTAAAAAAATTCGGATTTTCAATGTTTTTGTGCAAAAACCACTGTCAGAATGTTAGTCTGCGAGGATAGTCTTCTGGTAACAAGGCCTGCAGTCGTTGTACATGGTAGGGATAAAACAAATTTTCCCGTAGAATCTATGGACTATGGTATGCGATAGTCCTACGCGGCGACCTAATTCCCGAGTGCATCTGCATTGATTTCCACGATATTTAAAATGTATTCCTCCTGCTCTACGGTAACCTGTCTTTCACGAGTACGAATATTAGTGGGCTGAACACTTCCTGTATCTCGAAGTCTTTGGTACACTTGCACAAATGTCCTTCTGTCTGGGTGAACCCGTTGGCAAAATATGTCGCGATAAATTTGAGCTGCAATATTTGAATTCTGACGAGCTTCACCGTAAACTAACAACATGTCGGTGAACTCTTGATTCGAGTACATTGTAGATAAAGACGACGACGTACGCGAGCAAAAACAAAACAACAGTCCCGATGCCCGATAACTAACCACTGTTACCGTTTGCGATCGATAGCCGGTTCGATATGAGTGATGAAAAGCCGTCGCGCTGTTGTCATGTGTGTTTTAAATATTTAATTTAATGAAACTTACTTACTGACTACAAATTTTGGCTTAACTTAGAAAAACTTAATGTCATTTAGTTGCTTATAACATGATTTAAAAATGTTTTAGATTAGATTATAAAAATTAGTAAGATTGTGGTGATTTTGGGCGATATAAATCACCTAAAGTAGTAAACTATAAAGCCATTTAAACAAAAATCTATTGACTCTTAGACCATGGGTCATATGAAATTTTTGACTTGTTTTGACCCACCCTATTACCCATTTCAATAATGAATACCATAACGTTTACACCCTGTATGATGATGATATGATTTAATATGAGATCTGTGACCCATCTTAGACAAATCGAATAATTTTCTCTGTTTGAAAGATGTTTTACAAAAACTGTTCCATATTCATTAGATCCATTGCTTCAAAAACTCTTTCTGTTTGGTCAAATTTCTTCGGTTATTAACTAAAAAAACTACAATATCAGAAAAACCGATAAAACGACAACTTGTTGACTAAGTAAGTACGCTAGTGTGGTAATAGTTTATTCCAGACTTGCTACAAGCGAGCAGGAAGTAAATGACAGCTAGTTCCAAGCTGACGTCTTGTTGGAAAACCTACATAATGTCATAAAAAACGATTTAATTTCACATTTCAAGTTACGGCCTTCGTGAAGCAATTTTTGAGTTACACGCACTTTTTTGTAATTTTGGCAAACGGCCAAAATCATGTGAAGTATATTGGCTTGCCCAGTGACAAAGAAACTGTATTCGCCGTGGAGTCGTTAGGAGAAATAAAAAATTGTTACAAGTAAGACTCTACATTTCCCATACAACACTTCATCAGTTCATAAAGGATTATTTTCGCAACAAGTTATTTGTCTGACAGAAAGTTAATTAAATAAGCCCATACAATTGGTTCCTGGTCCTCATTTGAAAATATTGGTGATATGACAGCAAGTGCGATGACTGTGCTTACTCGGCGGATACCATCAAAAAACTAAATTTTGATTCGTCGCGGGTATTGGAAAGATTTCTATCATTCTGTCTTGAGGACACATGTGTGGGGAAATATATGTGTGAAATAAGATTAATAATTACATGCATTATCGGTGCTAAAAGCGTATAAAGCCAAACAACTAAGATATATACTTCCTTACTTCCTCAAATAACAGTTATTATGTTCGAAACTTCCTATATGAATTCACAATATACAATTTCCTTAAGCCCACCACGCAGCTTACTTTGAAAGAAAGTATCCTGTTTGAGTATAAAAATTTAATAAAACTAAGTTGATGGCGCATCTCATTTCACTGCTGCAACCATATTCATCCCGAAGGAACATTTTAATATATTCGAAGAGCAAGCGGCGGCGGATATCAAAGACAGTCAAACCGCTCTCAAGAGCGCCCCAGAAATATTCACTTTAATATTATACCTCTACCTCCAAACGCGAAACGGAATTTTTCTCCTTCCCTTTTCCTATTCCTCTTCCGCTCTTTAAGCACCGTATTACAACCCACCAGGTGACCATCATATATCTCCACTAGAGTTTTAAGTCGATTCCTATTTAGCCGCAGCACGGGATCTGTTACGTTCTCGCTCTCTAGCATGGCTTAACCCTGCAAATTATCGCCCAGTTCTGATAGATTTTTCCGTATATCTGCAAAAAATTTTGTTTAGTAATATTGTACTCAATCCCGATCACTGCCTCGAGCCCTACGAAGGGTGTCCTAGCTCTATTTTTTGCCTGAAGTGCAGCTGTTTGGTTTCCCTCCATACTTGTGTGGTCTGGTATCCATATGGGACGGATCCTATTTTCATAAAAATGACATCACGAAAAACCATGTCACACCATTTGGTCTGACTGCCCGTCTGTCTGGTAATCCTTGGCCTCTCTATAACTTAGAAAGTTCTACTCGGATTTGGGTGAAATTATCACACAAGGTTATGCCAAGGACGAAAAGCTTAGTTTTTGAACATCGGTCCAAGGACGACGAAGAAAAAGGGCTAATACGAAAAAATATGAACCGCTCAAACGTTCTATTTTGATGTTTCAGAGGATCCTGATATTTTTCAATAAAAATTATTGCTAAGAAATTAGGAGGTGGGGAGTTATAGTGGAGTGCACACCTTAGTTTTTGATGTTAGCTTATTTATCAGCTCCTAACCCCAATAATTCTATGCAGCTGGTAGCCATATTTCATACATCATAAGTTACCCCGTACACTTGTCTTTAAAACTTAGAATAATAGATGTTTTCTGCTATCTGGGCTTAGCGCCCGGCGTAGCGGTCTGCTTAATTGTTTTGCTGGTACTGCGACGGTGGGGGCTGCCGCGTCTGACGATATGGGAAGCGGCAACGTTGCCACATGGACGGCAACTAACGGTATGGCAGAAAATAATGTCTACGGGCTAATCGTGTGCGCCTACTGACTTGATTCGTTTATTTTCTTTATTTTACATGTTCGTAACTATTTTTTTCTTAGAGCGCTTTACTTGTGCTGAACCTGATCCTTCATGAATTGATGACAGCGTTGAGTAGGAGGTACAGAGTTAATCTACTTGACGAAATTTTTTGACAAACAATTTACATTTTATTATTTATCTCACACTCATACAATTATTACACAATATACGATGATTACAGCTTGAAGGACTCTGATAGATGGCCATTTGGTTAATTTATATATTTTAGTCAATAAAGATCATTTATTAGTATTATCCTTTGACAAGCTCTACTAGCCAGGCGCACATTCCAAAATTAAAAACATAATTCCAAAAAGAATGCAACTTGATCAGAAACAATACCGTCTTAAGCAGCCTCCTGCGGTAATAAACCCCCGCAGGCCAAAACAACGGCTCCACTAAGGGGGCATTCCAGCCGCGTATATGCGGCCGCCATTAGAGGTCTCATCATTTTACCACCGGAAGACAAATCTGCACCGCAAAGGGCTCCTCTCTAACCCGAAATCCGCCAAAGGGCTCCTCTCTCGCCCCGCAAGCTAACTGCGAATGGGCGTGCCCAACCAAAGCCCTACCCTTGCGACGTGGAGGGGGTGCCGGATGATACCAGATCAAGGGATGAGAGCGCACCTTGATAGCTATGTCAGTTACGTTATCTCATCTCCGTTTACATATAGATATACCTACGCGGCGGATGTCTTCATTTGGTGCGTTAATGCAGTTCGATGTACAGTCGATGAAGAAGGTGGTGGTTGTAGTGACATTGTGAGGGTGGCCTTAGGTACTTGAAGACTTGAGTGGCATGAATGAAGGTACTGCGGATTGTTCATGGTTTGTGAAATACAATGGTATGTTACATAGTTTCATTCATCGAGCCAGACAAGGATTTCTTTGTTTCCTAATTACCATAGTCTGTGGAGAGAGTCAAAGTGAATACTATAAGACCACTTCACATAAGTTAATTTTCTGACAGTTCGCAGATTATTGCGGTGTTAGAACGATTTCAAGACATGGTACTTCTTACATAATTTGCACAAGCCTGATGAAGGTAGATGATTCCACCGGTTATTATTATTATTGTGTTGCTATAACGCTGTTACTCTGATAGACATTGGTAGTCTAATGATTCAAAAGTCTACGCTGAAACTATGCAATTTTGGCGGAAAACGATGTAAACATATAGTCTTGGCTCATTCTAATCTATTCAAATTCACGTTTCATTCAGACTTATGAAGCGTACGTCAAGAATATGCACTTGATAGCAGCAATAGACTTACAGAACTAACACTAGGCAGCATGGTGAACACTATAGGTACCCGTAAATCTTGTGAAATATGTCTCATAGGTAGTGGTTACTAGCGTATAAATACGCTAATGCCAAATAAATGTTCATGCTCTCAGCTCCGCCGCCATTGGAACGATTCTCAAAAAGTACAAAGCTTTTTCGTCCTTCATGCAGTGGCAACCATTGCATCAAAATCTTAGCGGTAGACGGGCCACGGACTAGCGGATAGACCGGCAGACAGACCGACGGTGACATGGATTTTTGAGATGAACACCTCATATAGGTAACATGCAAAACATAATATCGAATTTTCGATTTTTTTCGCAATTACAATACTTCCTCGCTGGTATAGACTACTGACAGCCCCATTTCTGCTTAAAAGCATGGTAGCTGCCGATGACAGAGAACGCAGATGATATGGTTTAATTTTCTGATACTTCGAAGACGTACTGTGCCGCAATTAATAAGAGCTAAGCAGGGGCGGACCTAGAAAATATTTTGCGAGAAGGTCCATCTGAAGAATTTGAAATCTTGTTGGGGGGTTGGATGGCCAGGAAGATGCCTGTGTCCGAGGTATCTGCGATTGAAAATTGGAGTGCGGGGGAGAGGGTCGTCTACAAATTGAAAAACACGTTCACGTTAGGGGTTGCAGGGTGTGGAGGAGGGTACCTTTATCCTAGTTTTTGACGTCGATTTTTTTATTCGCCTCCAGCTTGAGTAACTATATGCACCTATTAGATATATTTCACTCATCATAGACATCTACGTACATTTACCTAAAATTTGGAAATGTCTCCAACAGTCGTGTGTCGATAGGTGCCACGTGGTCCGGATGATGAAGTCGGTAGACGCTTCCGTGCTGCTGTGGGCTGTGTACTTCAAAAGTCAATATCATAGCAATGACCATGTGCGCCCGCATGGCAGGAGGTGGAGAACCATATTTAATTTTTGGCTTTACATGTACGTAGAGCTTCTTTCTCAGAAGGACTAACCTGTGCCGAACAAAATCCTTTACGAACTGACGACAGCGTTGCGTGGGAAGTACAGGGTCACTACTTGACGCTATTTTTCTTTGTTGCTGTCACTTTCTAAGTCGTCTTTTAGTAGGCAGGACGCATTCGGGAGAGAAATTTTATGACTCGACCTTCTTTTCATAATGACGTTTGTTGGTTGACCCTTAACATGAATCAAACTGCAAATTCATTTCAAGGATTTTTTAAAGAAATTATGATTGTTTTTTCCGCCCTGGACAAAGTTTAAGATTTTTGAGTCATTTTCAACTGAAAATGTGTTTAATAAATGTTCTCTAAAGCTGACCATTTTCAAGTTTTAAGCTATTCGAAGTCTGAGAACCCCCAAAAATAGCTACTTTCATAGCTCAAAACAAGGTTAACATGATTTACTATTCTTGAGGTTGCCAAGTCACTTAACAAAGCTCAAACCTTTCCCTGAAAGACACCATAAAAAATATTTTGTGCTGAGTTTATTTTGGAGCATTGCTATTTGTTATAAACTCGTAGCGCGTTATTGGCGTCTTAATAACAGTCTAAAGGCGGCCTTACATTGAGGCAACCATAGGCAATTAAGTTGCCTATAGCATGCGATCGTTTGGAACCTTGCTAATCTGTAGACAGAATGTGAACGGGAGCAACCACTGCAGCATGCGGCCTGGTACTTTACACCTACTGCGACTGGTTTCTTCAACCTGTCACAGTTTGTTTCGAGATGTCATTGCAAACAGTTGCCGCGGCAACTTATTTAATTTTATCGAGAAGGAAGCAAAAGAGGCGAAGACGCAAGATATGGTGTAGAGAGTTGTTTCTGAATAGTGATGAGAATAGAAACGACTTCTTCAATAAACTTATGGCTGATGACGGAATTCTGTTCCAAAATTTCACACGTATAAATAAACAGGAATTTGAATAGCTCCTAAATCTGATATCTCCTCTGATTTCTAAATCTGATACAAATTTTCGATGCGGAATACCGGCAATAATTAAATTGTATTGCACTCTGAGATTCTTGGCAACTGGTGACTCCTACCGTTCGCTCATGTACCTTTTCAGAATATCAAGCCATAATTCAGGTTTTAAAGGAATTTATTCAGGTGAGCAACTTTACACATTTGTATGAATTATTTATAGTAATTTATGAAATAAGTGCATTTAAATATGTTAGAGATCTAGTAAATCATTAATATCAGGAAATCGTGTTCCATCAGCTGAAGAGGCATTCTTCTGTATGTCTGTCGATATTGATGTATTCTCTTTACTACCATTAAGCGGCAAATCACTTGAAAGAGGAACGACGTCTGTTGGTGAACAACGTGAATGTGCAGGAACTGGAGTCCAGTTAAAAGAACTTTGAGTGGAACTCGACGCAGACGTTAACGGGGGAGGACAGACTGGGTTTGAAATAGCCGGTGTTTCAAATCTTCCCATAGCAGCATCAAATAAAATATTATTTATATAATGTTTTGTTATCTGGTACGAGGTTGAACTCAGTTTTCGCAATTCATTTGCCACATGCTGTCCGTATATGGAAAAGTTGTCGTGATTTGAAGCTGTTTGCAGAATTCTATAGGCCTCATCTGCTCTTCGGTCGTCTTCATCTCGACGTGTAGCCTGACATTTGGATTTTTGCTTTTGGGAGCGGACTTTGTGAGATGATGTTTTACAGGTGCTTTCATTACCAGCTGTGATTCGAGTTGCTGCTCATTTGGAGAAGGTTGAGAAGTGTTCTGAGTTGCAGACGTGCTTCGCAGTATTTCGCTTTCTTGATCAGCTTCATCATTTTCTGACTGAAATAGAAATAAAATAAGTTAGTACACAAGATAATAATTTACTGCCTGCGTAAACTATGAAATCTTTTTATGTTTTATTTTTTCATACAGTGGTTTAAAAAATTAAAGCAGATTTTCATAATTTACGCGGGCAAGAAGTGCAACATTTAAAAATTATCTAAAACAGAGCAATAAAGTATTTTAGCACTAGTACAAAAAGCGACATATTTAAAACAAAACATGATTATATAAAATGGCACTTTCAACACGATGGTATTTTTTCAGATGCCAAGCACAGAAAACGGATGGAAAGAAATTAGCAGAGATTTTGACCTAATGTGGAATTTTCCCCACTGCATTGGATGTGTAGATGGTAAACACGGCGTTATTCAGAACCCTGATAATGCAGGGAGTATGTATCTAAATTACAAAGGAACGTTTAGTATCGTTCTGATGGCTGTTTGTGACGCTAACTATTGCTATACCTTTGCTGATGCAGGAATCCAGGGTAGAATTTCAGATGGCGGTGCATTTCGGGAAACAACTTTCTTCAAAAAGATGGAAAAGAATAAACTTAATCTGCCAATGTCTTTACCTCTACCAGGATGCCAAAGTAAAGCAGCCATATGTTATTTTGGGGGATGATGCTTTTGCTTTGAGCGAACATTTGATGAAGCCATTTCCTGGACTCCAATTGGACAAGGATTCCAAAATACTCAATTACTGGCTTAGCCGTGCTCGCTGTGTCATCGAAAACACGTTCGGGTTAATGTGTTCTGTATTTCGTGTGTTTAGAAAACCGATGCTATTGATTATAGAAAACGCCAAAATTGTTACACTCGCGTGCTGTTACTTACACAACTTTTTGCGAAAAAAAAGGTGCATCTAGAAAATTATATGCTTCTCCAGGATGCTTTGACTGTGAAAGACAGGATGGATCAGATATTCCTGGAACATGGAGGGATATTATACAAGGAGACTCTAGTATCATGCAACTTCAAAGACTTCCTAGACGACCACCCGAAGTAGCGAAATTTGTTAGGGATGAGTTTAAAGCATACTTCAACACACCAGAAGGAAGGGTGCCTAGGCAGGATAACTACATATAACTAGGAATTAACGTCAACATGTCTATATTAATAAACTTTATTTCAATGGAACATCCTATAAATAATTCTTTTTTACATCTTTTGTATACATTTATTTAAATTTCCTCTATAATGTTCTATATCTATTTCATAGGCTCTAAATCGTAAAATTACTGGTATTTAATAACTTGTAAAAAATTGAGATATTAATATGCAAAGCATATCCCCCGAGGATAGTTTATAATAATATAATTTAAAGCATGTCAACGTGTTAAAATGGCCGACTTTTAACAGCCAATATTTCGCAATTATTGCTGATAAATAGAGGATATTATGTATACATGAAATGATTTTTCCAGACCATCCAATTATGTAGATACATATCTATATCATCATATTTCAAATGAAAAGTTGATATACTGATACTGCTACTTGGTTGGCACATAAAATTAATAATTGAATGCATTATTCAACTTTTGTATGAAATATGTTTGTCTAGTTTCAATGTGCTAATGAAAATATTCTACTTGTATGCACTGTTGGTTTATCCTTAATGCTTATACTTGCCTCAGAAAAATGGTCATCAGTTGAAATACTTTTTTTTGTGCATCTGCCTCCAGAAGGAATGTGAGTGTATCAAAGTGCGCCCAAGGTTCACTTCTACCTGACCCGGACTTTTTCTTCCTGTACCGATGAAATGTCGTTCGCAAATTTTTTACCTTCTCCTTCAAATCCTTCACCGGGCAATCATACTTTTCAGATATTTTTTCCCATAATTTAAACTTCTTGTGATTGTCTTTATATGACGCATCACGCAAATCCCACAAGATCCTGTTTTCGCGATAATCTTCTATTAAATACTTCACCTTGTCTTGAATCTAAGACATCGTGGCCATCGTGCAGCATGCAGCTCAGCAACCGAGCAACTGAACCCACGAGCATCCGATAGCTTGCGACTTAGAGCAACCAGTGGAGGGGAACACCGCAAGCCGTATACAACTGTGCGACTTCTGGCAACGTGCAGCATGCGATCGCGTCGCATGCGGCTTGGTTGCCCTTAGTTGCCTCAATGTAAGGCCGCCGTAAGATACTCTTTAGGGCCGGGTGGGGGAAGATTTGTACTTTAGTTTAGACGCTTGGCAATATCAAAAATAACTTAGCAGAGCTATTTAGGGTTTTTCAGACCATGAATCGCTTATAACTCGAAACCGATCGTCAAGCCGTTAATGACATTTTTTGTTCAAAAACATCCAAAAAGCCTAAAAACACCGCTTTTTAAATTAATTCGTACGGCAACCTTATGACTCATAAACAAAAAAGTCTGATTATTTTTCCCATGAATGCGAGGTTTTCTCCTCGTTTATATATCGTGTCTGCGTTTTTAGGGTTATCTAGTCAGAGGCGAATCTGAGATGCTGCGCCTCGTGCCCCGGGAGCCGAGAGGCGCCTAACCCGCAATTTATAGGGCACCAGAGTAGACAAAATGTATGTTCCCAAAGCCATGATCATCTAGCACGCAATTAATCACCCATTTTCTCAACTATCATCAGCGGGGACCCATCTGAACGTTGTGCTTCAAGTTCCAGATATCCTTGATTCGCCACTGAATCCGAAGGTGCTTGAAATACCAATGTATTTCACATCATAATTTCGGGTGTGGTACGATTGTAGTTAGTTGTATTACTTGTATTACAAGACCAACTTCATCCAGAGCAATGACGTTGACTACTTGTATCTCAATTTTTTAATGTTAGTATTTTTATACGCTCCAAACCCCAGTAATTCTAAGCACTTGTTAGTCATATTTCACACACAATATGTTTCCGCGTAGGTACATTTGTCTTTAAAACTTGGAATGATAGAGAAGTGTTTTCGATACGCGTCTTTTACCATGAAGGGGCCACGTTGCCAGATCAACGGTAACTACCGATAGGGCAGGGAAGAATAGACCATATACTAATTATATGAACCTGTTTGACTGACCCAATTTCTCTCCTGTACATGCTCGTAACTATTTTTTTCTCAGACGGGTTAACTTACGCTAAGCTTAATTCTTTATGAAGTAAAGGCAGCGATGTGTAGATAGTGTTGAGTCAACCTACTTGACGCCTTTTTTTTCTTTTTACAGATTATCACTTAACCTAAGCTCAGCTCTCCACGATGCTGCACCATTACAACTATCCTACTTCTCTGAGTCACTTTCTCAACTACCATCAATTGGAAGATGCAAGTGTCAACGAAAATGACCACGCGACACCGTCACCATGTGACGAGCTTACACAAGACGACGACCCTAGGTGTAGGAGCAACTCATCAGCCAATAACAACAAATCGTTCACTATTGCTGCGATATTGGGTTTGAAAGGAGACGGAAAAGATGCTAGTAAGTATGGTAATATTCTCAATCGGATTATGTAACCCTTTTACGCCGGCTTGTCTGTAGACTTGACTGCCTTCTGTTCGGGAACCTTGAGTCCCTCTATAACTGTGATAGTCTTGATCAGATGTTCTCTTCCTTTCTCTCTCTCTCTCTCTCTCTCCCTTTGTGCCCATGTAGCTGCGTAGGTAGAAGCCTAAATAAAGGGACACCGCAGCTGCTATACGGAGCTTAAACACACTTTGATGTTTGAACTGCCTAAGGTCAGAAGTCCGGGAAAAGCCCTTAACAAATTGTGAAGATTTTTCCAAGCAGCTGCCGCTATTGACGAGGCATGTTCGTGCCAGATCAAGTCCGCGGTGATCTGAACTCCGTACCAGCCGAACTGAACGGCTCTTCGGCAAAACTCAGCCACCCATCAAAACCGGCTGAGCGCTAAGGCGCTTCTTGTTAGTCAAGGTACAATACTATGGTTTGGAAGAATTAAACTGTGCCCGACTGTTACCTCCCAGCTTCAAGCAATTATAACCTCCAGATCTCTCGTCAGAGAGGAAGTCGCTGCCAGTCCTCTTGACATTGCGGGACGAAAAGGAAAGAGGAGGTCAGCTAACCATCTGTTCGCTACGGTCTGGTTTTGTTAGAAGGTTATGAGAGCCTTGATCTTCTGCCGACGAGCAGTGCCGCACGATTAGTTGAATCAGCCGTTAGATCCTGGCTTAGACATTTTCATTATATGAGGTATATATTGCTCCATTCCAGTGGGGATAATTTCAGTTATTGACGAACACACAGACGACACATCCGACTAGAGAAACAAGCATATCTTCAAGGAAAGATTGAGAAAAAGTCAGTAAGTCAGTAATGATAAATGTCCGCAAGGCCGCACCTAAGCGAGTTTCTGCTGTTGGGACGTTTTTTGTGTCAATAATGTATTGTCTCGGATTTTCCATGAATTCAAATTTTCTTATGGATTTCCAAGGTTTTGATCATTTCAGAATGTAAGAAAAGATGCACTATACGATAGTTTGGTATAGTTCAATACCGCTATTAGAAATATCTCCTTTTTCAGATAGTTCCAGACAAGATATAAACGTGATGAACCTTTCAGTCCATACTGATACTGATAGGGATTTCGTGGCTAGCTGTCATCGGCTGCAACTACCTGTACGCAGACCTAATGTAGGTGTTAACGGTGGAACATCAACTATACACTACTCACCCGTGACTGGTCCACATGGAGTGATAAATGGCAGGGCAAGCGGTAAGATGGTGATCGTGACTTTCGAAGTTTATATACTAATCAGTTTCGAAACAGATTCTCAGAGCACATATCGGTTACACTTATAGTTTAATAGCTAACAACACAAAACCCACTGTAACAGTACACCACCATAGAATTTTTATGTTATTTATTTCTATGCGTTGAGAATAAAAATGCACTTCCGTCTAGATAAAAGTTGTCCATTCATCTGTAATTAGGTGAATTAGTACATGAAATTACGTGTCTTATTACCGAGCAAAACATTTCTCCAATTTTTCAACATAATGCTTATAAGTACCTACAATGACATTGGACATTGTTCTAAAACTTTGATTTGCCCCACGCTATTACCGTGACAGAACAGCATGATTTTTTTGTATTCTGCAACTCATTATTCTACGTACCAGTTTTTTGAAAAGCCTGCCACAAAATCATGTTTATTCATATCCACATTTTTAGCTGGGGTTGTTCAGAATAACTAAAATAATGTCTGTACAAATATTTACATTGTTCCGATTGGGTGTCGAAAGTTTTAGCGGATATAACCACAGATATTCACATTTATACAGGATGTTCCTTAACGATATGCGAATATTTAAGGGTGTGAATCTACATGAAAAATTAATGTTAGTTTGCATTATACACTATGGTCCAAAAATTTTTCTTTACAAAAACTCGGAGTGTTGAAGTTTTAGGAAAAAAATGGAAAATAATTAATATTTTCAGAACCGCTTATTATATATATATATATATATATTATATTTCACTGATATTTAGTACGTAGTGAAAGTTAGTAAAGTTGCATATTTTTCAATGCAAAAATAATTTTTAGCTTTAACAGTGGCGTGCGTTCGGGTATTGACTTCGATATTTTTTAAGAAAAAAATGGTACGCCAATGATTTTTTGCCAAATAGAAATTATTTTTGAATTCTTCATTCAATTTAAAACAAATGATCTCTCTTGAATTGTTTTTCTTCGATGCGCCATTTTTGAGTAAAAAAATAAAAACCGTTCTATTGTCTAACTTGCATAATTATTATTAATTTAATTGGAACAATTAAACACATTAGGGGTAATGAACAACAACAACTGACAACATAAAATTAACATTAAAACCAACGAAATGATTACAAAAATTGTTAAAAATTGCCCCCTTCACTTAGTATGCATGCTTCCACCCTCCTGTTTTTTATTCTATCACAAGCTGCAACTATTCTTTCTCTTAATTCCTCTACACAAAAAGAAATCTAAACTGTTGAGGTCTGGGGACCTTGGTGGCCATTCTTGGGGCCCACCGCGGCCAATCCAACGATTTGGAAAAACAGTTTGTAAATAATTACGAACCGCTACACTGAAATGCGCTGGTGCACCATCATGCATGTACCACATATTGTTTCTTGTAACTAACGGAACATCATCAAGCAGCAAAGTTGTTGAAGAAAATTGAGGTAAGTCTGTCGGTCAAGTCGTCCCGGCAAGAAGAATGGGCCAATAAAGTGGTTGCCAATAATTCCTGCCCATACGTTAACCGAAAATTGGTGTTGGAAATGGGTTTCGGTTACGGCATAGGGATTTTCTTCTGCCCACAAATGATTATTGTGGAAATTCTGAATGGCATTTCGAGAAAAATTAGCTTCGTCCGTGAACAGAATCATTGATTTAAATTGCGGATTTTGAATTTTTTGAAGATACCACTGACAAAAGGTCACACGCCTTGGAAAATCAATATGAAGTAATGCCTGTGCTCTTAAAATATGGTAAGGATATAAAAAATCTACTAAAATTCCCCAAACAATTTGATGGCGAATATTGAAGTGTCTAGCGATCTTCCTCGTACTCGTTTCAGGATGTTCTTCCACTTCGTGCAGCACTTCTTCCTCAATTGTTCAGGTGTTGTCACACTTAGAGGTCTACATTCAGATGTTCCTTTTCGGACAGAACCAGTATCAGCAAGACGACGATGAATATTAGAAAAGGTTCGACTATCTGGCAAAGCACGACCGGGATATCTTTGGTGTTAAAACTTTATTAACTTTCACTACGTACTAAATATCAGTGGAATATCTGAAGCGGTTCTGAAAATATAAAATAAAACTTCAACACTCCGAGTTTTTGTAAGCAAATATTTTTGGACTATAGTGTAAAAAGCAAACATGTAGATTCACACTCTTAAATATTCGCATCTCATTAAGGAACACCCTGTATACCAGACTAGCCTAAAAATTCGGCTTGGCTCGCGTTTTGAATGGGATTGGTTTCGGACAAAGCATGGGCGTATTTAAAAGGATGGAGTGCTTGTGGAAGGATAGCAGTAGCCCTTCTCTCAAGCCCAAAATTAAAGGGAGAAAATTTTGACAAAAAGGTTCAATTCTTCGGGACTATGGACGAGAGTGACGTATCTGGGGTCTGATTCCATATGAATTTTGATCGTTGAAATTGATTTCGATGGCACCTCGTGACGATATACTTGATTGGCTATGATAATTTAGACACTGCCATGATAATATGAAGATAGGATATCAATATAATCAGATGTCAAAATTATCATACCGAATAAAATGTATCGTCATAAGTCGCCGTCGAAATTAATATCAACGGTTGAAACTCATTTAGAAACAAGCTCCTGGTACATTAAAGAAGCGAAAGATGCTCGCTTGTCGTTTTAGAGGACTGAACGTCCTTCTTTGGGAAAGGGAACGTCTATCCTCAAGCGGTCCCTGAGCTATGCTGGTTTTGTGTTGTGCCATCTTAAAATTTGAAATGATGGCTTCGCGCAGTCTGAACATGTTACGGGATCTTTCATATTATTGTAGCAACACACTGTATAGGAATATGAAAATGAACAAACGAAGAGTCACCTGGAAGACAGATAAATAAAATTGTTCATGTTCTCTCCAAGCTGAATCAATTTCCATTACATGAGAAATTACTAGAATTAGATATCTACGTTGCATTTTCACTTAATTTTGCTAAATTAATACAATTATATTTTTTACATAAGGTTCACTGATATTTTAACCATCACAAAATACGTACTGGAGCGTATTGGTGCCAATATTAAGTCGACTACATTGCCGTAGTTTCTTTTGTGCAGAGGTATCTTGTGTATCTTCTGGGTCTTCGTTGCATGCATCGCTCTTCACGGTGACTGGGGCTCCTACCCAGTAGTAGTAGTAGTAGTAATAGTAGTTAGTGGTGGTGGGGAGGCGAAGCCTGGCAATTAGGCCACCTTTAACCCCGTAGTGCCAACACCGTTCTACTCCACCATGAGCCATCTACTGGTAACTGATATAATAAAACAGCTCCAACGATACCTGTTAATATTGCACCATGTGCGTAATACAGACAAGACAACATCCACGGCAAGGAATTAACTTCCGAGGCAGAGATTCGAACCCGCGACCCCCGGATTACTAGCTCGGTCGCTGACCATCGAGCTACCAAGGCTCCCTCTACGTTACCAGCTAGACGTCCTTCTTCTGACTCTTGAGACTTGGATATTTGTGATTTTAGATATTATGCCAAAAAGTCTTGTCTCAGAACAGCATCCGTTGTTTTTAATAATATACCTACCTGTGCATATGAAGTTTACCGCGGTAGGTAATGCGTCTATCATATTCCCAGCTCTTAGAAAACAATATTATATACTTCCTGCGTCGTAGTTCAACCTGTGTATATTATATAATCCACACGTCGAAGACAACTAAAAAGGAAGTAGTGCAAGGAGCATAACCACAAGCTCTGAACCGGATCTAAAAATCTTCCTAACAATGAGTAACCGTAAACGCTTCCATTCATGTTGTAGGTCTTCTGTCGCCAAATTGATGTCAATATAATTGTATCGGGAACTCATCTGCGACAAACCATGAATGGATTGTCTTTACGAGTAATTTAAACGGATGCACATGGTGAAACATCCTCCCTGAAATTGATATACCCTCTTGGTAACATTACGCCACCTCGCATTCATACAGGTCTGCTTCTAGATAACTTTATAACAAATATATCAAGAATTGTTGTACCCGCGCACAAGGGTTGTTTTTCTTTGTTTGTACCGGTAGTATGTTATATATATATATATATATATATATGCCGGGTGGTCCATCTATCGTTTTTTTTTGAGTTACTGGTTTTTTGGGATATGTCAAGACTTATTTCGCATCTGATTTGACAGAACATCAGTCATATCATTCCGATTAACGAAAATGGTTGTGTATTCGCTTGAACAACGCTGGGAAATATTAAAACAATATTTCGAAAGTGGTGGTAATGTTGCAGATTGTGTCCGAAAATTACGTGCAAAAATGGGAAGGAATGAAGCACCGTCACCACCGTATGTGAGGTATTTTGTGCAAAAAGTTCGTGAAACTGGTCTTCTTATTGACAAACCAACACGTGAAAGACCGAAAACGGTGCGTACACCCGAGAATATCGATGCTGTAGCTGAGAGTGTGGCAGTCTCCAAGCACATCAACGCGCCAACGTTCTCTACAATTGAACATTTCACGCACATCATTAGGTCGAATCTTGCATAAAGACCTTGGTATGAAGGCGTAAAAAGTTCAATTGGTTCAGCAATTGAAGCCAACTGACCATCCAATGCGTTTTCGCTTCGCTTCATGAGCCTGCAATCAACTTGATGAAGATGTTGATTTTGGTCGAAAAATCATCTTTTCAGATGAAGCGCAGTTTCATCTTGGCGGCTATGTTAATAAGCAAAACTGCCGCATTTGGGGTTCAGAGAACCCACACGCAATCGAAGAAAAGCCAATGCATCCAGAACGAGTGACTGTTTGGTGCGGATTTTGGGCTGGTGGCATCATTGGCCCATTTTTCTTTGAAAATGAATCCGGAGCAGCAGTTACTGTGAATGGTGAGCGTTACCGTGCCATGATAAATGAATTTTTCTTTCCACAAATTCAAGATATTGAGTCGGTAACATCTGGTTTCAACAAGACGGTGCTCCGTGTCACACAGCAAACGCTACGATTGCTCTTCTGCGAAGTGTTTTCGGTAATCGCATTATCAGCCGAAATTCTGATGTTGTTTGGCCGCCTCGGAGCTGTGATTGGACCCCATTAGATTATTATTTATGGGGTGCCATTAAAGACCAGTGTTATGCCAACAAACCAGCAAAAATTGGCGAAATAAAAGAGAACATACGCGCTGCCATTGCTGAAATACAGCCACATACGATTGAAAATGTGGTCAAAAATTGGACTGACCGTATGGGCTACTGCAAAGCCAGCCGCGGCAGTCATTTAAATGAAGTTGTATTCCATACTTAATCGGAAGGATTGTACTTTCAAATAAAAAAAAAAATTGGAAAAATATTTAGTAGTTTTTTTATAGCATTTTAAAAAAAAAAATAAATGGACCACCCAGTATATGTGCATCAGAAATCTATTATTTCTTTGAGGCTAATAAATATTATTATTATCCATTTATCTCTGAAACCAATGGGTATACAAAGAAATGTTGAAATCAAAAGTTTCTTGGTTCAAGCCAAAGCTTTATTTTATTATATTTTGTATATACAGGGTGTTGAGTTTTTAAAAAGTAAGCGTCAGCTTCATTTATTTAAATAGCATATCTAATATGTTTTGGCAGTTTCAGATTCTGCCTACAATCTGCAATACATTTTGCCTTCACATGCATGAGGTTTTTTGTTCAGCTTTTAAGATATATATCATATTTTATAGATTTTTGAAAAATCACCTTCATGGTGGATACTGGGATGAATCTCTTCATATATCCTCCCACGCAACTCTATTCTACCATATTTCAGTACCACGATTCTACAGAATGCTTAAAATTGACATCCAACGTTCACAATATTCAACTTGAAAAAACCCGACTTTTCCAAATAATAATAATAATAATAATAATAATGGAATGACATATATTTTTAAACACGCTTTTAGAGGATTAAATGCACTTTCATTAGATGTATATATGTCCCATATTCATAATTAGCATTTCAATACCTTTTATGGACAATAAATTCATAAAATCTGTTTGTATTAAGCAAGTTTTCTCTTCAAAAACTTGTTAATTTTTTGATAGTTTCTTTGTGGTAATGTTCGTAAAATTACGGGTAATTACAGTTGAAATATATTTATTAGAATAAAATGGGAACTATATTTATGTGATTTAAGCCGATGCATTGGGAAGGTTAAAAGTATTTTACGTCCTCAGCCAGAAAGTATTGTAATCGCGAAAAATTTATAAAATGATATACATATTATGTTTTTTGGATGTTATTCATTTCCGTCGGTCTATCTGTCTATCCGTCTGTCCGGTAATCATTCGCCCCTCTATAATTTGGAAATTATTGCTCGGATTTGGAAGACATTTTTACACAAGATTACTACTACGTTATGCACTAAAGAGCCCTGTAGCTTTTGAAAGCCGGTCCAGTGGTGGCGGAGAAAAATGCCAAAAACAAGAAAAATAGAAATCTCCCAAAGGTTATTTTTTGTTATATCAGAAGAACCTGATGAGTTTTGAAGCTATTTTTAGGGATAGAAAATAGGGGCGTGGGGGTTTGTGGGGGAAGGGGAACGGTATACCTCAATTTTTTGATGACTAGACGCCAGTATAACAGTATAAACCGCCAATCTAGAAATTCTCCAAAAAAATGATATTGATCGTAAGTTTCCCTGCACGTCTATAAAACTTAAATGATGAAGAAATGTTTTCGACACGCGCCTCCTTCTGCTATCTGTGCTCAACGCCCGGGATGACAGACAGGTTGATTGTTCTGGTCGTACTGCGGCGGTGCTTCGTGCGCACTGCCAAGCTGTCAAAAGGTGTTCTCACAAAAACGGGCCCACTTATTCTATACGTATAGTATATCCAGTTGCTCCTATAATACCTGACATTACGATTATTATGTGAGCTTTTGCAGCTACTTATTGCATAAGTCCGTTCTATAAAATATACAGGGTGTTTCACAACTTATCCGAAAAATTTTAACCACGTATGCACTGTTACGAAAAAAGTTGATTTCTCAAAAAAAGAACGTGTAAATAAGGCTTAATCTAACTTGGGTGATCTGAATGGAGAACGGTCGATTTTTGTGAAGTTAAATAAGAAAGTACTTTGCGATTTTATGTTTTTAGTTATTTATTAATAAAAATGGCACATGTGTACACTAATGAGGAGTTAGCGGACATTATTTTAGCATACAGAGAAGAAGGGTGAAATTCGCGAGCGGCTTCTCATTTGTATGTACACCGATTTCAAGTTCAATTGTTTTACGTGCACGTGCTAGTAGAGATGTGCGCCCCAAACAGGGAGTGGATGGGGGGTCGGGTTCGCCCAAAACGCGTTTTAAAAGACGAAGACGAAGTTTTTGATATTGTGGAAGAAAATCCGGGAATAAGCACAAGGCAGTTAGCCCAACAGGTCCCAGAAGTGTCACATGCAACAGCGTGGCGCTTATTACATGAGGCCCAACTGTACCCTCATCACGTCCAGAGAGTCCAGGCGTTGCTACCTACAGACTACCCCCTAAGAGTAAGATTTTGTGAGTGGTTGTTGCAAGAAAATGCTCGAAATGCCCGTTTTACAGCTAATATTTTGACCACTGATGAAGCTATTTTTACTCGTAATGGGATAACCAATCTTCATAGTACCCACGTTTGGTCCTTTGAGAATCCTCACGCAGTGGTCCAGACACACTTCCAACATCGTTTTTCTTTAAACGCGTGGGCAGGTATTGTCGATGAACGTCTTTATCGGATAGAATTTCTTCGGAATGATTTGCCGGTCCTTCTTGAAGATGTGCTATTGGCGGTTCGAACAGGGATGTGGTTTCTGCACGATGGGGTACCTCCGCATTTTCGTTTAGAAGTTCGTGATTTTTTGAATCAGGTATACCAGATACGCTGGATCGGAAGGGGTGGACCAATTGCATGGCGTCTGCGGTCTCCCGATCTATTTCGTGACCGAATCACAATATCTGCCGATAATTTGAGCCTTCAGGCACAGCAGGAAGAAGGTGAATTAGTGCGCGGAAATTGGATTAGACACGCCCAAGCTTGCACTGCAGTCAATGGAAACAATTTTGAACAGCTTTTATAAGTAAGTGAACTGTTAACCTGTATTGTTTTATTATCTCGATTTCTGTAGGACTTTTATTACATTTTTTTGAGATATCAACTTCTTTCGTAACAGTGCATATGTGGCTAAAATTTGTCGGATAAGTTGCGAAACACCCTGTATTATTTTACAAACGTTGTCGCACAACACTACTTTCAGGCTCCCCTAATCAAAATCAGAAAAAAATTCACTAGTTACATGAATTCGGCTAGTCTATATCATCGTGAATAGGGGAGGCATACACATAGTGACAAATACGTAATACGTTTACACCATAAAGCAAAATCCCAAACGAAATGCAATAATCGTTTTTCCTTTCCAGTCCGTTCGAATGTCGGGGGAGGGGGCAACATGAAACACATGTCTTCGTCCTCTTCAGCCGGAGGGGTGTTGCAACAAAGCAAAAAGAGCTGTAAGAGCAAAAGGGTGCGGACCATCTTCACCCCCGAACAATTGGAACGTTTGGAGGCGGAATTCGAGAGGCAGCAATACATGGTCGGGCCGGAAAGACTTTATCTGGCACACACGTTGCAGCTTACAGAGGCGCAAGTAAGATATTTCCTGCTTCGTCTTTATCACTTTTGTGCTAGTTTTTTTATAACTATAGCTTTGATTTCATTGATAGTTTTCATTTTTTTTAAATATTCGAACAAATATTTTATTATCCATATACTTAGATAAAACATGATACTGAATAAAAATTAGGCTCAGGGTAATGTCGCAGCGCAATGGCAGTCGGTATTTTTGGACGCTGACCAAGAAGATTGGAGCAAACTTCTCAAAGAGTAGCCTTCCACCATCTATGTGCCAGGATGAAACGTTTATAACCGGCACAAAGGCTAGGGCGGATGTACTTGCCAAGTTTTTTCTGTCAAATTCACCATGGAGGTACCTTCCAACGCCGGAGGGCCGTCGATTCAAAGGGTCCCTACACTATGCGGGAAGTAACATTCGGGCATAAGACTGTAAGATGGGTGCTCTTGTCGCTCGATATTAACAAAGCTTCTGATCCTAACATGGTTCTCGTCGTAGTACTGAAGAGATGTTCAGCCGAGCTTGCTCCAGTTCTTTCGCGTATCTTCCAGATATGTTACAAATCCAGCACTTTCTCAGAAAACTGGAAATTTGCTCATGTCCAACCCATCTCAAAAAAAAAAAAAGAATCTAAGACCGACCCTTACAACTAGAGGCTTATAGCTCTGCTTTCTGTTATAAGCAAGATGATGGAGAGGTGCATACATCGGGAGCTTCTGAGAACCTAGCAACAGGCAGGTTGCTTTCCAGCACCAGCGATCCACAGGTGACCTCCTGAGGAGGCTTTTACCTTAGGTAGTTCAAAAGTCGTATTAATAAAGTTTATTTAAGCTCCTCATTGCAGCCTGGTATTCAGGCTTCTGCCTACGCGGCTGCTTCGGCATCAAAAAAACTGCTAGTTACGCCCCTATATGATCAAGGTGTGCATACTCTTATAACGTTCGTCAGGAGAATATGCTTTAAATGAATGTAAACAGCAAGTGCTGAGAACATGCTTTATTGGGATGTCTTTTTTAGGATATCTATATATTTACTGATCGTGTGCATTCAACATTCAGAGCTTACATCCGTTGATAAGTCATAGACGTTTCATGACCCACGAGACACTAGACTGACTTATTCTTTTTTGTCAGGTGAAGGTCTGGTTTCAAAATCGTCGCATAAAGTGGCGCAAACACCACCTAGAATTGACCCATCAAAGGCTGGCTGTATTGAAACAACAACAACTTCTATTAGACGACGCCCATCCAGATGCTCAAGACACCAACAGTTCAAATCCAGATACGTGAGATACGAAAACAGCTCTTGGTATTCATGACATATAAAAATGTGTACATACAATTAACGAATTAACCCTGTACTTTCTGGTAGACTATCATGTAAATTATACCCATAGTACAGTCTATCTGACTTTAAAGAGATAATTGTATAATATTAAAAACAATGTCCATTTTGTATGTATCTATGTGCAAAAATAGGTCCCTTGAAGCGAAAAGGAAAATATCATGAAACACAGAGATGGATCATAAAGATACTCAGGGTCTCCAAAGTAGGAACCACATGATCCCGGGACATAATCTTTTATGAACTGATGACGGCGTTGCATGGGAGGTGCAGAGTCAACCTATTCAACACTATTTTTTTTTCATAACTTCAATTCAAAAATTAAACCAACGTTGTAACTCAAGGATTTCCCAAGATCATAGTACAATTTCGTTTTTATGCTGGATGCCTTGTATACTTCTTACATATTTATTTCTTCGTCATACAGGTCATAACTTGCGAAACTTTACTAACGTAGACGCGGATCGAGGATGTCCTTTCATAAACTGTTGCAATGTTATACTATTTCTTCTTATGTTCTCATAGCGTCTTCGATACTCAAAATGCACTTCAAGTTTCTTCGAAAATTCCTAAAACGCAATTTTTTAGCCACTGTTGATCAGAAGCACAAAATTATGATGCTCCAACAAGTTTATTGAGTTCATTCTAGATGTACCTTATTGAACCGTAAGAAACAAATTCCGCTACTGTAAATATTTTAGGACATGGTCCTCCTGCCCTTATTACTTCATTATCGTAGTGCAACATGAACCAAAGTTAGAATAAGTTGGTAATTCAGTGTTATATTATAATAATTGTAAGCCGAGTCATAAAATTAAGTGTAATATTTTACGAATTTAAATATATTTTAAAAAATTTGTTCACGTGTTAATACCTGTATTTACATCCACGCCCATCTTATCCTAGAGAATATAAAGCATTTGAAGCCATCCTCCTGGAATTTACAGTCTCCAGGTGGGTTAGGGACAGGGGTGAAGTATCTACCAGTAATTACAAATTTAAACATTGGTACCTACAAGTTTCAACCAATCTTTCAGTCGACACAAGCGGTAAGATTACTTCTACTTGAATGCCGCCAAATGGGGCACTAACGCAGCTTGAGAGAACAAAGGAGGAGTGGAGTCGATAGGATTCACTTTGCCTCTAACAGTCAATCCTAAACATCATATATAGGTTACTATCCTCGGTGATACCGTACTGTGTGCTTACGAAGCACCGTGATGTACCTAGAAAGCGATTGGAGATACCTAACGAATCCGGCTGTCTCACTTGAACACCGTCAGATGGAGCACCCAGACAGCTTGAGATGACAAAGGAGCAGTCGCGTGGATAGGATTGAATTTGCCACTAAGTCTATCCTGAAAGTTGGCCGCTGATGCTGTAGACTAATTGGTTGGGTCGAGATGCAAGTTCGAACCCCGATGGCGCCCATTTTTCCTATCTCTCAAGTTGTTATTTACCGAACGTACTTACACAGATTTTCTTCTTCAAAACACTACAGAGGTATTTAAAGGGAAATGTACTTGATTTATTCTATGTCCATGTCACGTGAAAATTAGGCGTCGTCGATGTCTGTCAAGGTCATCCAGAAACCAGACGAAATCAAAGGGAATTAGGAGAATAAGAAAGAATGAATGTACCCAGATAGCACAAGCACCTGAAAGTTGAATGACGTAAAAGTAACGTGAACAAACCTCGTAATCTCGCATACCGATGACGTCATATGTCAGACGTCAATAGAACGTCACTTGCTGAAAGTGAATATGATGTCTATTATTGGAAATAAATAACCAGTTTCAGCTTCTTCAAAAAACGCTGTTTGTTACCAGCAGCATTACACAGACGCAACACCTTAGCCTATCAATTGTAACACTACCTACGTGTTACTCGCCTAGCGAAGAAGGACCACCAATTACTGGGGTAAGAACACTTGCCATTTTTGCACTCTGTGGGGGTAACACACATGGTAGAGATTCAAAGTCCGTTAGCCTGAAAATAGCCTATTGTTCTATAATTTTTGGGAATTATCAGTACGTGGAAGTTGGAGCAATGAGACGTGGGCATGTGATACAAATGGCGACAGCATGTTGCCAAGCTAAACACAAAAACATTTCGAAAAATACATAAACTAGCACGGCACGGGATGTCTACCTGTTCGGGTGGTTTGTCATCAAGAAGATATTGATCGGAACGAGTAGCATAGTATACTGATGAGCGTCAATTTGTGTTTTTGTAGAAAGCAATGCAGAAATCCGCTGAAACTGACAGATCCATTAGTAAACAAGTTTGGCATTCGGCTAACATTTAAGGAGCTGTTACCCACTGTAGCAGATCTGGGTGAGATCGAAATAAGACAGCACAAAGTGCCTTCTATTACCACAATAGACCACTGCCAGAGTGAAAACAGTTGTCTGTTGGAACTCTATCCCAGTTCGCATTGTCTGCAGTGTCACCACTGTTGCCGCTAGATGCCGCCGATTCTGGTGTTATATTAGATATAGTCTACTCGCACTTGAAGAAACTTGCATTATAGCTTCCGTTCGACCGACCACAGACGGCCAACCATGGACAGCTATTTCGTACCATTTGGCAACTCCTCAGCATGGTCTAAGATTGGTCTAGGTAGGACAAAGAACGGAAGCTGAGCAACTATCCTCAAATCAGAGTATAAGGTCTATCGAAATACGATAGCACAAAGTGCCATCTATTACCAGAACTGTCCACTGCTAGAGTGAAAACAGCAGGTTGTTATTGACCTGGCTGACAATGCGAACTGGGATACAGTTCCAAAAGACAGCTTCTTGTTTCGCAGTGGTCGATTCTGGTAATACATTTCACTCGGTGCCATCTTATTTAGACTTGATACTCTAGATTCTAGATATAAGATAGCTGCTCAGATTTCGTTTTTTGTATTATACATGAGCACGAAACAGCTGTCCATCGTTGGCCGTCTGTGGTCAAACGAATGAAAGCTATATTACTAGGTGAAGTTATGTTTTTTGAGTAGATTTTAATTGACGGAAGGTATACCCGCAAATGGTGTCGGGCCTCCAGAATTCTTAGTTGGACTTGTTCAAGTATGACTGTGCTTTCAAACCACTACTAACTAATTAATATAATTATTAACAAGTAAGCGTTGAAGATCCAATAAGGTGTCAGATGCCTCATTCCGTATTATGTGCCATAAACTGCGTTTCTTTCACAAAAAAGCGACAATGGCTAAATGTTGCCAACCCTTGTGGTAAGAAGTGATGAGTGAACGAGATGAGTTACAACCGCAAAACCTAAACTGTTTCTTCATCGAGGTTATCATAAGTTCACTTTTTTCTTCATTTCAGAAACAAAAATATCCTCAAATCTGAGTAGCACAGTACCTTAGCAATAAATTGAATACCTGTACAATATTTACTACGCATGCAAGAATTCAGACTATCCAGCCCTTAATAAAAGTCAACAACTCATATGAACCGTTTAAGTAGCTGTCGTCCATGAAGGTTTGAATTAATTTCGGCTTTTTAGCCCGGCAACAGAACGGCAGAACGGTGCGCATGGGGTCGTTAGATGTTATTAGATGGTATAAACACCGAAATCGCTTCCCCCTTTACGGGGAGGGAATGCGACCGTGCCCATCATAGTACGGTTATAATAGGAAGGCAAGAGAAAAGTATGGAAATGCGGTTTCCTATTTTTTGGAACACGATAATCTACTTAAAGTGATGTACTGTACTGAAAAATTGTTTTGAACATACTAAAAAACGTCAAATCTACGCTACCCAGTTTTTTATGTGGAGAGTGTCGCTGTGTGATGACGTCACATTACATCAGTTACACTCACCACCACAACGCGATACATCCGCCGCGCATGCTTTACGCAATTTACAAAGGTTGCTCTGCTCCGTATTTAGGAATCGGTAAAAATGGGCCAGACCTTCGACTTACAAATTCTGTATTGTACCTTGGCCTACCAATACAGGCATATCAGCTCCAGAATAACTTTTTTACCTGTTTCAAAACATTGAAGAATTAGAAAGAAGTGGTGCAGGGACGAAAGAAATGCCTCTTTCGGAAACATTGTACTGCTGTAAATATCATTTTGATGTTAGTTGGTATTTAGTTAATTTGGTAAAAAGAATGCAACTAAATATTAATGCACGTGCCTATTATGATGGATAAATAACTCAATTGATGTAAACGAGAACGGGATACATTTGATTATTGTTTTCATTTAATGTCAATATTATAGTGATCATGTTGTGTCTGGAGCGGAAATAGCCCTTGAGGCTCGTCCGGGTCGACGTGGATATGCATGGGCAGAAACCAAAAAAACTGCTCAAAAGTGCAAAAATGTGTATACTGTCACGTTTTGAAATAATCAGCTGTAATCGACTTATTAGGTTATGGCATTGTATTATTTTCCAATTGATACATGACATATATGACAACAATATTTGATATTGTTTTCGTAACTAGTGAATTCAAAAAGCCTATTAGAGTCGGCTCTATTTCGAATAACAGCATGTTTGTCTGACACCCAGATGTGAAATATGTCAATTTTGGCAGCAGTTGACTGTACCTTTTGGCAATTATGCAACATTATACAATAATACATAAATCATACATTGAAAACGTATAAAAGTGTAATTTGAGCGCAATCAACAAACCCTTTACAAACATAGCCGTCCGCAATTTATATTTTTCAAGAATCAATTTTTAATTCGTTATCAGCGATCTTAAAAACATTTGAAGGTTACCTGGTAAATATGCTCAAAATTGCGCAAAACAGGTAGTTACCAGTTTTTTAGGGACAAAATGACATTTCAATATTGTCCCGCCCCTGAAAAATTTGTAATAAGAAATAAAAATAAAATGTTATGGTCATCGCTTGAAACGTTGTCTAATTGAATGTTTATTTTTCATATTATGACAATTCACGATAGTCAACTGTACTATGTATAGGGCAGCAAAGGATGTAAGTGTTCCAGCGATGAGGAGGACAGGACACGGGCCGGGCGGAGTGGCTCGTTGTCGACGCTTAATGACAGCAATAGAAGCCGACAATAAAATTCCCAAAGCAGATTTCCACCGGTGCTCGACTTTGCTTTCAAATCCGCCGACAAATGATATTAACATACTCAATCATGTCGCCTGTTCACCCCAGCTACAAGGGGACTACTGTAACGCACAGGGGTGGACTGGCAAAAAACAAATTGAAGGCATTTTTTCATTTTTAACCATACCGCTGTGTAAATAATTTGTCTGTATTTATACGAGTTCATCTCGCGGAATGACCAATAATAATTTACTTGTCAAATACCTAGATTGACCGAGGCTCTTAGACAAATGTTACTGTATCATGATTCATGATCATGTCTTAGGCTTAGGTTTAGGTTCAGATGGTGCGTGTTCGCCTAACGCTCGTAACAAGGAGCTTTCTTTAGTTTAATTGTTCAGTGATGGGTCCACTCAGGAAGGGGGGGCTGAATTGGCAACCTCTAGATTATCCTATCCAGGTAAATCAGGGAAAGTACATTACCGGCACTTAGTCACGTGGTGCTTGCCGGGATTCTCTATCATTATCCACATGTAAAAATATCAAATATTGCGTTTGTTTTGGTTAATATCCTGCTTCACAACGCTGATGCTTCCCGAGATATTTCGTTCAAAATGAGTGTAAAATGTAACGCAATACGATCAGTAGCTGTAATGATATACGTGAAATATATTGTAACTATTGTGGGATATGCAGAAGTAAGGAGACTGACATAAATTGCTACAGGCAGGCTATGATCTGAAGATATCGGCGT